GCGATAACAGGATAGCTGGCTCCGTTTTTGTACTTTTTAATTAAAGTACAATGGTTCGGTAAGACGGGGTAACATCAGTTCATCTTTAGAAATCCTGGTGTTCAAGCACAGACTACAGGAGACGTTTTTTCCCCTAATGTTCCTACAATGACAGATTTAACAACTATTCACTAGTATCCGGGTGGCGGCGACACACTGGTGGTGGTGGAGGGGATCCCCATTACCAGAAAAGCGCTTTGAGTGGAGTGTCCAGAAAAGCGCTGTATAAGTATAAGGCATTCTTATTAGTAGTAAGATGTGGTGACAGTTACTTGTCTACCGCCTGATGTGTGCTCTTGAGCGTCGTAAAATATGCACTTCGCATGGAGTAAAAGATGACACTATGGCTTCCGTCGCTGCACCCTGGTGGTGGTGGAGGAGATCCCCATTACCTGTAAAGCGCTTTGAGTGGAGTGTCCAGAAAGTATAAGCAATTATTATTATTATGACTTGGCTTGATGGCTTCAGTTCTTTTTTTTACATTTTGGAAATAAAATCGAAGACGTTCGCCGCGTAGAACCGGATCTCTTGATCTCCTCTTGAAGGGATTTGTCGTTTTTTTTTGTTGTTGGTTTTTGTTAGGTGCCAAAGTCTGTCACGATCTCGTTGACGCTCCCCCCCCGAGAGCACATAAACCATCAGGTTAAAAAAAAAAACAAAGCCCCACCAAATCCGACGACTTCGCGTTCACAATAGCCGGAAGTGGAGGTGCGCTGTCCACACAAACCGGCGCGTGTGCGCGTGTCCGGCGCTGGCCGCCTGTCTCTGCGCCTCGGCTGGAGGTCGCCTATATATTCAGGGCGCTCAGCCGGTAACGCGCAGTTTAACTTTAGTCCCGGGAAGCGCAACAGGTTCTTCCGCTCCGGAATACGGCGCTGTTGGAAAACACCTCCCGTGGTAAGTACAGTACAGTACAGTACGGTACGCGAGGAAAGAGCCGTTTGCGACTTCTCCTTCGCAGATTTTACCTTCAAGCCGTTTCTGCGTGTGCCGACTTTACAACCCGCAGGGGGATTCGCGGAGCTCAAACGCTCTGGGGCTCCGGGAACGAAATAAATATATAAGCGAGTTCGAAAAAGTTGCATTTGTGTTGGGGGGGGAAAAAATGCAGATGTCTGCGTGGTGAACTTCTTTTGATCGCTTTGGTTGTTGCCCGCCTGCGAGTTTCAGGGGTAATGCTGTGATTTTACAGGTGACGAGATCGGACTCCTACCTGACATGACATTTTTGAAGTGAATGGTTTGACCAGAATAATTTTTGTCCCTGTCCTTAATTATTCCAAGACCTTATCGATTATAATAAGACAGTCGGTTGCCCCCCCCCACCTCACTGTTACACCCCTTGGTGTTTTGGGTGACAGGGGTTTGTCTGGAATGTGTGTTCTGTGTAACCAATCGATAGCGGATAGAGCCTCTATTCGTCCTTGTCGACACCCGGCCGGAGTCCATCGGCGGCGGTGAGTAATGAGTGTGTGAGTCAGCGGTTCGAGCAGGGAGCTGCATGAGTTCGCGCTGGCTGCACCCGGAGCCGGGGCAGATGAATTCACACACCTGGGGAGGTACTACTACTTTTCAGCGTGAACTATACCTACACTTGTTCCTTAGTAAATTCGTATCAAGACAGATCTTTACTTCGGTGGTGCTTTTCAACTATTATTTTTATTATTATATGCACGGTTATTATTATTATATGCAATATGCACAGTGGACCCCCGGTTAGCTTCGGAGCGCTGTGTTCGATTCCCGGTGAACTATCTGTGCGGAGTTTGCATGTTCTCCCTGTGTTCTCGCGGTGCTCAGGTTTCCTCACAAGGTATGACGTGCTGGCAGGTTAACTGGGTTCTGGGACTTCTGGGGACACACACAATCACACCAGGGCCAATATCCCCACAAGCCAGTTAACCCAGCGGCCTGTTTTTTCATCTGTGGGAGGAAACCTGAGCACCCCGAGAGGAAACCCACACTAACACAGGGAGAGAATACAAGATCCACGCAGAGAGCACCCCCGGACCTGGAATTAAACCCGGAGGGACAAAATCGTCCCTGATGTGAGTACTGTACGTGCGTGTCTGTGTTGATGTCTCGCCCCGTCCCGTCCCGTCCAGTGGGTACACTGCCTTGCGCCCGTTGCCTGCCGGGACTAGCTCCGGCTCTGCGGCGTTCCCTGAGCTGAACGAACCGGCTGCATCACAGCATAACAATAATATTATCATGATACGTATTTATATTATATATAATATTTTATTTATATCATTTCTACACAATCGTTTTATTGTGGATAACAACCACAATAATTAGTCGTTGGTACCGTTTTCTCCACATGACGCGGCGCACAAAAAGGTTCAACTAGTCTGAAAAAAAAACCCTTAAATGTTTCTCAAGGTGCTTTTTTAATGCCCTCTCCTCACCTCACCCCCCCGTCTCGTTTTAGACAATGGATGTGTCACCGGCTCTGCTCGAGGCAGGGCGAACCCATCGCTCGATCGAATTCCAAATTCCCGAACTCCGCACACACCGCTATCAGCGATCGTTCGCTTCCAGGCCGGTATCTGTCGCACGGGAGGCGCACTGCCGACGTTATCGCCGTGGGGCGCTAAGCAACGCGCATTGTCTTTTAGTGAGCGAGGCTGCAAGACAGATTCTCCCCACTCAGCGCGCAAGAACTTTGGATCGGGCGGTGCGCCACGGGAGACCTCCCAAACACTGCTCCCAATCTAAAAGATAAAGAAAAAAAAAACGTTTTAATTGCCGTTTGGAATCGTTATGCGTTGATGATGTGTTTGCGGTGTTGCTCGCGTATCTTTGGCGACACCGTCGTTTTTTTTTTTCTCCAGACAACGATTTAATCAGAACGCATTTCACTGGAAGTGTCTGTGCTTCTCAACGAAATAAGAATTGAAACGCTGAAAGAGATGACTGAAAACACCAGCTCGCTGGACAACTTATTTCCTATTGAATTTCACTGCTAGGATGTGTGTGTTGGGGGGGGGTGGGGGGGTTGTGCTTTTCTGAGTTGTCACAGATGTGTTGTCAGATCATGCTCAGATAGCACCCACAGGAGGCACCCAAAGGCGGGTCAGTCGTGGCCGAGCGCTATTAGTGCCCACCAGCCCTGGACGGGATGCCAGTCCATCACAGGGCATCACAGACACGCACGCACACACAATCACACCAGGGCCAATATCCCCACAAGCCAGTTAACCCAGCGGCCTGTTTTTCATCTGTGGGAGGAAACCTGAGCATACAAGAGAGAATACAAGATCCACGCAGAGCGCACCCCCGGACCTGGAATTAAACCCGGAGTCCCAGCTCTCTGCCAAACATCCCGAGAGCAGAATCTTTGGATGTGGAGATCGGCGTCTGGGAAAAGTTTCTCAGTCTTCTCTCACTCCGCGAGGGAAAAACAACAACCAACAAGCGGCGTGAGTTTCAAAACCTCCAGCGAGTGGCTTGAGTCCTAATGAATTTGGCTCAGCCTGCTGGGGGTGAGAGCCAGCCCCCCTCTCTGTGGGTCGAAGAGGCGGCCCCCCCCCCTCCTGCAGAGAGCGAGGCGTCCCGGGGAGAGAAGGGGCTGGTGTCTAGTGTTTAAAGTTATTTTGAGGAAATGACGTCAGGAAACTGATCGCCTTTCTGGACACCTCAGGCCGTCTCAACCAGGTTATTAAATTCCGTTTGCCAAATAAATGAACGGGATCGCACGCTTTTTACAAATCGTGGATGTAGCCTAAAATCGGGCGCTTTGTGAAAGTCTGGAATGGTCACCATGTTGCCACAGGCTGCTTGATGACACCGAGAGTTCACGAGAATTGTGATGCCGCGGTGCGGCCCTTCCCGCTCGCCAGTCAGTGTCATGACTGATGTGCTGCGATGAGCGAGCGGAGAAGCACAGGCGGTGCAGCAGACATTTCAGTGCAGGAATGTTCCAGCCTGATGTGCCGGCAAAACCATCTCGGAAGTCGAGAGCCGTATTTCTGTTGGATTAGAAGACATGGGTTCACGAGCCTGCTTGTTTACAATATAATGGGGCCGCCCACTCTTTGCGTTTTGTGGCTTCAGGTGGATGGGAAGAGCACGGCAGGTACGACCTGCGTGGTGAACCCCAGTTTGCCCTCCTTCAAACCGCTCATCGTTGTCTCCCTCCTCTTCAGAGCAAAGACAGCGGGGTCTTTCGAAACAATGGGGCAGTGCACCACGAAATCCGGCCGGGACGTTTCCGACGTTCTCCGGAAGGGCCGGTTCTCCCCCGCCGAAGAGGACTCCCCGAGGTACGCCTCGTATCCCGTCCCCCGCCCCGCCGCCGGCCCGGGCAGCGAAGGCCCGGCGATGCCTCCGCGGGCCGTCTCCAGGGACCCAGATGCCCCAGACCGCGCCTGGGAGAGGAGAGACTCGCGGGTGGACTCGCGACGCTCCTCCATCTACAGCACCATCGACGCCGTGCCGCACTACGAGTTCTACGCCAACACCGCGGCGCCGGGGCGGCTGAGACGCAGCAGGCCCACTCTGGACGCCCTGCGCAAGGCCCTGGGTGTAAATATTCATGGCGGTC